GGGGGGGGGGGGGGGGGGGGGGGGGGGGGGGGGGGGGGGGGGGGGGGGGGGGGGGGGGGGGGGGGGGGGGGGGGGGAGCCGCTTTTGCTTCAAGCTCTTTATGCATCAAAAAACGTTAATATTTTTGTTATGAGTTACTTTCAGTAATTTTTCTCGCGCAAATCGTGTGAAAGTCTGATGAGAAAATCAGAAAACATATACAATCGTTCTTTATTTCGCACCTTGTCAAGTGATCCATCTAATTTAAAAACAAAACAAAATTCTAAGTAAAACCAAGTCGTGAAAGATTCATGAAAAATCTCAAAAATTTGCGAATCTACTTCTCATGCTTCAACATGCAACAAGCAATCACATTATTACTGCGAAACGTTCTTTACTTGAAATGAATTGTTTCATCAATAATGTTTTTGTTCTTTGGAGCAGATAGTGATGACTCGGAGAGGCCGGAGTTCTTAAAGCATTTAGCAACCTTACGGGGCGAGGCTCCTATCTTCTTAGCAATGTTAAATGAAACCAGGAGGCAGGTACGAGAATTGCGCCGGCCTAGTCGACAGGATAGTGCAATTCAAGCTTATAAGTAAGTAAACTTGTATAACTTGACATTTGACTTTACTTATTGCTCTTCGCTTTACGAAATCATGTATGAAACCTGAAAAATATAGTGTGAGCATCACAGTTGATAAAACAGGTAGGTCATATAAAAGTTTGAAGGTACATTCTATTATCTAAACGGGNGGGGGGGGGGAGCATGGAATCATTGTAACCAGTATTATTCCTTGCTAAAATGCCAAACGAATGGGGAAAAAATAATTTGTGTGTAGTGGACTCTAAAACTCAAGTTGGAAGGGACAACATACACGGTGTCTTTAAAGTACGTATGTATCCACCTTGAGAATATTTAGAACAAAGTCAGATAGCGGAAAACGTCAAAACAAGTGTTCAATATTCCTGAGAGGGACATCTTTTTTGGCCACCCCCTTAACAGAATAAACGCCTCTCTTTCGAATATTTGAAGTAGCAACCTCCCCTCCATAATGATTAGTGGCATGGTGTGCTTTGCAATATCGATTGATCTACCATTTAAACCGATATGGATAAGGATCCATAAGCTTGGTGTATGCAATGAAAACCTTATACCATAGCTTCAAATGGGAAAATGTCAATAATTGATCATTTACGCCACGCCACTGTTTGTGATTTGGTTGGATCACCTTGTGCAATTAGAAACTACAATTTCTTGCTCATTCCAGAAAGAACATTTGTGCCATCATTAGTTTTCCTATGCAGATAGGTGTTTTCATCTATGGGCCAGAAATTGCAATTCCTTATTGCAAAATGCAGTCCATTCAAAAGGTAATAAAAAAAATAAATCTCTGGCTTCAGTTGCGAGTCATCATCTATCACCTTGTCGAAATGGTGGGCAACAGGTATTTCGACTAATTATGTATAGACTTGGATGAAACTAAGTGTCCAGGGTTTTTTGAGTCAAGGAAAACGAACCAGCCATCTTTTACCTTGAATTATCACACCCCTGCCAAAATGGCGGGAAACAAGAATTTCAGCAGATTCTGAAGGGCAGTTTGATGATTCGTGGGAAATAATGGCAGTTTGATGGTAACTACAGGGACGTGTATCTTGGTTTGAGACCTGGCAGACTTCCAGTCCTTTTTTTTTTTTGGAAAAATTCTCAGTATCATTTTTGAAAACTTCCCTAACTTACCTTCTCTGTGTTTAGATTTGCCCATGAAAATTTCAAGCAATAGCTTTGGTTTAATCTTCTTTGATAAATTGAAATAGAAGCAGAGATTATGAAACACTGCAAACGAGACATGCGTTCTTGCATTTTCACTATGGGTATTCTTTTTCCTTGACCTAAAGAGACCCACAATACCCACTTTCTTTGTTAGCTGTCCGCAATCATCTTAAATATTTTTTTCCTGCCATTTTAAATTTTTGATGTCCTGTGTGGTTAATGTCAGTAAGGTGTGTTCACAATATCAGGAATAGATGTGTCGCCATTGGTTGTGAACAATAGAGCAAAATGGTTGAAAACCAAGGTGATTAATCAAGAAAAAAGATGATGATGAACTTGTCCTTGCCCGAAAAACAAAAAATTATCTTTATTTTTAAAAATATAAAAATGTAGATGAAAAATGTCCCTTTCAGTTCCGAAGCGCCAACCTGAATTTTGAAAAAAAGGAGTAATTTTTGGCAATGAGTAAGGAGCATGGATTTTCTGACGTTACTGTCCGAACGGGGTCTTTGATGTTCAAAAAAACTGTAATATTGAACTAAAATGTTGATTTCTAAATAAGAAAAGTCATTTGGAAGGTGTGTCACCGCTCAATTTGACATTACATTTCGGCCGTGACATCTAGTGCAATGTTTATTTCCCCTGACAAAGCTAGCAGTTTCAAAAATGTTATTAAATCGTTCTTCAAAATCGATTTGAGCAAACTGTAAATCACTATTCGGATTTATTCATAAGGAAAATTTTATTTTCGAGGAAAATCATTAATTTTGAGGTGTTTACCACTAATTCTTTAGCCTCTTAATCCTCAATTCAGTATCATTAAATTGAAAGGAAGTCCTCAAAGTTTAGAAAACTTTTAAGACATGCACTAATTCTACCTGGTATTTTAAGCATTACCAAGTTTCGTCTTTTGTATCATCTTCTATAACACAATTTTAAGTCTCAATTACTATCACAATTTGGCAGTGTTGCAATGTTTGACCGTACCTCCAGCACCAACAGTCAGGTAGAAGGAGCTGACACCTGTACCTCCTGAAATAGTTTGTTAATCATCATTATAACTTGGTACTTAATAAAAATTGTCTGTGCTAAAGTTCGAAAAAGGAAAATTTAGTTTAATTAGGATGAAATGATGAAATTTGGTTACAATCGGTGCACTCTCATTTTTAAGGTGTTGATCATTTTAGCTATCCCTGTTATTGCAAAATCACTCATAATGGAGGTATACTATCTGTAAAAACATTTGTATTCCTAAAAGAATAGAAGTGCAGCCGAGTATGATCCATTCACCCCACTGCCTGGTTGTCTGATCTCACCTTATTGTTTTCTTCATCTCAACCGAGAGTTTTTATCTTGTTTCATTTCTAGATATTTATGTGCAGCATCTTTAGTAATTTCTCTGTTCATCGTAACCTCATTAGAATGATTTTTTATTTTCTCCAGGCCTGTTCTCAAAGATCTCTCTAGAATATTAATCCTACTTAATCGGCGGGATGAAAAAATTGATACACCTCCAGCAGACTGGGAAACTCTTTTAGCTTGGGGAGAAAGAGTCCTCAGAAGGTATAAAAAACAGCATCCACACCAGGTAATTATGTTCTTTTTCTATACTTTTCATTGAAGAGTATAAATGTATTCGTAGATGATCAGAAAAAAAACTGCATTATTTTCACTTAGCCCTGCTTATTTCTCTTAGAAGTCTAAACCTCATTCTGTTGTAGTAGGTAATGGTGCAAAAATAGCTAAATAAATATAGCTTAAGTAATTACATATTTACCTTATGTTTTAGAAGAAGAATCATTTATTTAAATCCTTGAGATTGCTGCCTTAATCAGTTGATACTGTATCAGATGATGCCACTAGATCTCTGTATTTATTTTGATGTAAGAATTTATGAGTTTCATTCTTCTAGATTAATGGCAAATAGCACAAGATGCCACGCTAAAAAAACTCATCCAAACACATAGCAGATTCACTGTTCAACCAAGAAAAATGACAAAAATGTCTCCTGGACGAGATAAGGTGATCCTTGTGTATTTTGAAGCGCTGAATCCGGATATGACCTTGGTTTTTTTCTAACACCCCCCAGTTTTCCGGGAAAGTCGATTTTTCTGAGCCTTAATTTGTGGATAAGCTCTCCCGGACTCAAAGTTAATTGAAAATACATTTTGAAAATGTTTGCGACGTGCATTACATCGATTCTTGTGTATTTTGACTTGCTGAACCTGAATATGACCTTGAATTTTTCCCATCACCCACAATTTTCCCGAAAAAATCGATTTTCCTCGAAAAACTACCTTTTTTGGTGTTTTTTCAATGATTTTTTTGTTGTAAAGAATCTAAGAAATTTTCTGGAATCCTCTTTCGGTCACTCCTGCTGTAGTAAGAGCGACTGAACCGGAATTTGACCTCCATTTGTCTCTGACAGCCCCCTCTTTTCTAGAAGGTCCTATTTTTCCCGGAAAAAAGCTTTTCCTAACTGTTCCCACCTCCAGGGAAATCTGAAAAACTTTCCGTATGTGTGATACTTCGATTTTAATGTAATTTGAGCTGAAATGCTCGAATATGACCTCAGAAATTTGTTAGCACCCACTGCTGCCATGGCATCATAGCAAATAACCTAATTATTATTTGTCATCCTTTTTTCTCCAGTATTCCAATAAAAATACAGTATTGTGTGCAGTTTGTACATGACAGTGTTATTATTCCTGAAAGTAGGAAAAAACCCACCATTTTTACGGAAAACCCAATTTTCTAGGAAAATTGTCGTAAAAATACCAAAAAACTCATTCTCCAAGAAAAATCAACTTTTCCCGGCAAAATGAAGGGTGATGAAAAAATTGGAGGTCATTTTCTGATTCAGCATTTAACAGTACATAAGAATCTCTCCTTTATGAATCCAGGATAATGACTGAAATAAAAATCGCACGCCCGACTGAAATAAGTCAATTTCACTAATTTTCCTGGAAAATATTGTCTTTTCTAGAAAAGTGAGGACTCCTAGAACAAATTGAGGTCATTTTCGGATTCAGAGACTTAAAATTCATGAAAATAGATCTATTTTGTACCTACGTAAAATTTAGCCGAATTTCATGGGGGGTTCAGTCGCAATAACACCGCAAATGATCATAAATGCCCTTTTTTTTCCAATAAAAATGGGGCTTTCCGCATGAATTTCTGTCATACACGTGGTTTTTAGCTCAAACTACATTGAAATCCATGTATCACACATGCGGAAATTTGTCCTACTTCCCTGACAGTGAGAACAGTTTTGAAAGAAAAATTTTCCAGGAAAAATCGGACCCTCTAGAAAAAGGGGGGTTGTCAGAAACAAATGGAGGTCCAATTCGGGTTCAGCTGCTCTTAATACAGCAGGAGTTGCCGAACGAGGGTTTCAGAAAATTCCTTAAATTCCTCACAACAGGAAAATCGTCAAAAAAGTCCCAAAAAAGTAGTTTTCCGAAGAAAATCGATTTTTTCGGGAAAATTGTGGGTGATAGGAAAAATCCAAGGTCATATTCAGGTTCAGCAAGTCAAAATACACAAGAATTGAAGTATCACACGTTGTAAACATTTTCAAAATGTATTTTTCGTTCACTTCGAGTCTGGGAAAGCTTATACAGAAATTTAAGCTCAGAAAAATCGACTTTATCGGAAAACTGGGGGGTGTTGGAAAAAAACCAAGGTCATATCTGGATTTAGTGCTTCAAAATACACAAGGATCACCTTACGTCGTCTGGGAGACATTTTTGTCATTTTTAGTCGTGCGGCGAAGCCGTATAGACTCTAGGTTTCGCCGGAGGCTAAAAA